GGTTGAATTGCCGTGCAACTTCGTCTCTTGGACCGCAGCTATTAATATTCCATGCCTTCCCATAAAGACAGTGATCTCCTCGATCTTGCTCTGGAGTCCGTTACAGTTAAATTGTAGCACCTTTGTGTGCCTTTGGAGACCTATTTTTATGTGTGGAGTTAAGGAGTTGTGTTACCTGCCGGCTCCCTGCTGTATGTGATGCAAAAGGGGGTGCTGCCTTGTGGTAGTGGTTGACGGCGTCGCGGGGGAGGTATGCGACTGGGCAGCACAGCCGGGGCCCACATAGTCACTCGTCCAATCACGCGTGTTGCGAAGTCCTGAGCATACCCTAAAATGACACCAGCCAAGGCAGGAGTTGCACTTGACTGATGTCACGTTACGGTATATTCTGGACTGACAAACCGAGCAGATTGTCGGAGGGACTAGGAGTTGCCGGCGGCGTATGTGGGTGCTATTGAGTTTGTATGTGTGTCTATTGTTGTGTTGTGTTGGGGTGTGGGTGTGTTAGTTGTGTGCTGCACGGGCGGGTGGAGGCGGTCCGATTCGCACAGCAAGGGGGCACGAACGACGTGGTCCATTGCCGGTGCGTACGTAGGCCCGATCAGTTGCGGAGGTGACTCCACCCGTCACATTGCACCTGACCGAGGTGGAGTTCGTATGCAGTCGTCTCTGGCATATGCAGCAGGTGTAAATTTCTGGCCCTGGGTTGGACTCTATGCCAGCCCTGAGCAGAAGGGTACGGAGCAGATGTATCCCTAGAATCGAGTAACGTTTGATGGATTTCACTGACCTAAACGGGGTTAGATCGCCGAAACAACAGCCCTTGGTCGGGTAAAACCCGAGTCGTTCCGGTACGTATAACCGGCTGTCGTGGGAATGTGCTCCCGCGCAAATTGGTCATTTCCATCAGTTATAATAATAATAATAATAGATTGGCGCTTACACATATGTTAGTGTTTGGCCGAGCTTCTCCTCCGATTTGTGGCGTGCGCCTTGATGTTGTCACACAGAGCGGCCGACTCCGAACGGCGATTGTATTTTTATCAGAAGCTGTTCATGGCAGAAAATACACTCGGAGGTTTGCCATTGCCTGCCGAGGGACGACCGATGTTAAGAAAAAACCTTTTTTCTATATTATTTGCGATGTTGCTTTGACCAGGGTTTGAACCCAGGCGTTGCGGAGTGGAAGCGCGCACTGCTTACCACTACACCACAGCTGCCGACAGTTATAGTTATAGTTTAGAAATAAAAGAGGCTGATGCCTTGCAATATACCAACTTGGAACTCAACCATCTTTACAACGACTTATTCCCAACAACTTATAAAAATTGCATCGCAATCGGATTAAACCTTTAGGCATCCATTCAAAGAATGCGTAAAATTACTACGTACTACTACAAAAACAAAAGTGAAAAGTGGACTTCTTAAAATTTCACAGTATTTATAATTTATTTTTAAGACCGGTTTATTATTTACGCATATATGTACATAAATAATTATCCAGATTACAGTAGTAGGCTTTTCAAATATTTTCGTATATAATAGTAGCTATGAAAAATAATGGATATTATTGTATATGTATAATCCATTTAATTCCTTAAAATCTGCATCTTCGATAACTGATTGAAATACATACAATGTGCAATTTAGGTTATGGGAAATATTTAATAGTGGGGAGCCCAAGAGGGGATTCGGGGATTTAGTCGAGCGCATCAGATTAACATATGTGGGATACCCTGCATCCTGTTGAGTACCTCTGCCAAATCTAAGCCATCTATGTAGAACCGCGCGCATAGGAGAGCTGATCAGAATAGTAAAAAAAAAACTTGATAGGTGGATTTACTCGAGCGTGTCAGAATAAGAAATAGTGGGTTAATTACATGCTGAAAAGTGTGCATTTCAATAATTTGACGATTTAAGCGTGACGCAAGGTAGTGGGAGGGTCGCAAACTTGCAAAAAAAAAACGTTACCTGGACATTCTCGCGCGGTCAATTTTTTTTTTATTATGAAGTATACAGCTGAAGGATAATGGGAAGTTATAATCTGACGATTTCCATAAACCGGAGTGTCGAAAACCGTCAACAAAGATTGTCGTGTGCACTTGCTTTTTTTCAAAACGACTACATATTTTTCTACGGAATTTGTTATTTTGTGATTTGTTTGCTGTTTTCCGTTTATATTATTTGTCACAATCATATAACTGTAAGTATACCCAGCGGACCAAATGCTCGCGAATGATACCAGTTGCGAGAGAAATGTGAGAATTAACCCAAATTCTCACTAAAGGCTTGCGTGTTGCTCCGCTGTATATGTACATAAGTATGTGCATTTGCGAATCAAAACCTTTACCTGAATTTGCGCTGGGCGATGAAATTGCATGTGCGATTAAGCGCGTCTACGATTACGATTAATTTAGTCCCAGTTTCAAAATAGTTTGAATTAGGATTGAAATAATCGTAAATCGAAGGAGTATTTTAACTTTTAGCTCAGCAAATATCAAGTAAAAATTGCTTTTTTAACATATGTATGTGAATTTTTTCTCATTTCTTAGCTAAAATCACTAGACATAAGAATTTGTATGTAAGAAAAACACGAATTTTTAGATAATTTTGAATACGGCAGCCTTAAGTTTACTTATACATGAAAGAATGTTAAACTCCGCTCCCTTCTTGCTCACTCTTTATATAGTATCTTAGTATAGTATCACGCAATCATGGGCGATCAAAGCACTCGTGGTGTTACATGAAATATAAGCTTTGAAATTTTACTAACTAATACCTTGTTTATACCGACACATAAAGCGCTTTGACCCAGTTCTCTGTGATTCAAAGCGGATGCATTAACCAAATTTCAATACGCTCTGAATTTCAGTGTATTGACTCGAATTTGATTTAAAATCGGATTTTTAACCGACTTCCAAAAAAGGAGGAGGTTATCAGTTCGTCGGAATATTTTTTATTTTTTTTTATGTATGTTACCGCATAACTTTGGACCACGTCAACCGATTGCATCGGAAAGGTAGTGTCTCAGAGGTGGTCCCATACTAATCTGGTTAAGATCCGATCAGTGGATCATGAGATATATATATATATATTTTTTTTTATATAAGAGTTGAAGTCGGTTTTTTTTGCTAAAAATTACTTGTTATTTCTCAAATCGCTTAGAAAACAGGTATAAACACATCACTCATTCGACGCGAAGTGAAAATAGGCTGATTTTCTTTATACAGCCCCTTTTAAATTTGAATTATTAAAATAAATTTTAATTATTTGAAATATCGAAATAAAACAGCAAATTTTGTCTACTTTTGAATACCGTTTCAGAGAGTGCGCTGTAAAGGCACAGGTATAAACGCTTGAAAGAAATATGTGTAATTGGTTTTTTCTTAATGCGGTTCTTGCGTAGGTATAAACCTGGTATACGTTTTTTGATTCACGATGAGTGGAAATAGTTTTTGTGTTTTGTGGATCAAATTCTTGTCAAAAAACTTGTTGGACTATTCTAGGGGACTCAGGTATGATACCTTGTAAATTTTATAATAACGCACTTTTCACTTAATATGTAAAAAAATATTGTAAATTACTTCTTGTTACAGATGGGAAAATTTTTGAAGAAATTGACGACCAAGTCGAACCGGACTTGCTGTATGATAATAGTTGCACGGATAAAATAATAAGTGTTTACAATAATATATGTTTGGTTGACTGTGCATCTCAAAAACGGAATTATTTTTTTAAACCGTCAGATTAAGAAAACCTCTCCAGATAATCGTCAGATTATGCAACAGGACGACCAGGACATCGAGATGAACCTTCTGTATGAAAATCTGACGCGGTCGAGTAAATCCAAATGGCGATTTTTTTTTTTGCATCTTTAAGAAGACGCCACGAGCTTGCGTCACATCTGAATCGTCAGATTATTTAATGGGAGGTTCATTCGGGCCCATTTAACATCCCTTGTGAATATCTGACGCGCTCGAGTAAAGTTTTTTGTCAACCATTTTTGAACCTTCCGTACGCCAAACCCCACCATGCAAACCGGAAGATTAGCATATTTCCGTTCAGTCATCAGAAACACGTTTGATGTATTGACTATCAATATCTGACACGCTCGAGTAAATCCATGTAACTGTTTTTTTTTTACATTTTTGGAAGCCTGTAGATCCTCCACCCACCGCTGAAAGGAAAAACATCACATGACCTTTTTTTCTTCCCATGATATAATCTTTAAAATCCAATAGGTCAAAATGACGCTCGAGTAAATCCCGATTTAGCATAGTGGGCTCCCCTACTATAAGTCACAGAGTGGGAAGGCCATTTTTCAGGCTTTTCACTAAATATTTCTAAAATACCTTCACCACGTTCTATAAGTATGTATGCGCATTGTGTAAGGAATTGGCTTAAAATGCAATATCAGCATAGTATGATTTAAATAAATGTTAAGATATTAACAATGAAGTGGCGATGATAGCAAAATATAAAACAAATGCATAAATATATATGTATATAATTTCATAATACCCTTTAAATTTTAAAATAGTAAATGTCGCATGATATTTCAAATCTCTAATTCCAGTGACATAGATATCTAATAAAATTTAACTATAATAAAAATTTAGAGGAATTGCGGGGAAGGATTTCAAATAGAAACATCAAGCGAAAAGTTTTCCATGATAAAAGTACAATACATTCTTAAGTATTGCCTATCGCCAATTGACATTGCTTCCCTCGCCAGCCTTAGCTCAAGACGCCCGTTCTAATGAATTGCTTTGCAGTGGCCCTTCGAAACCCCAAAAACTCTTTAAATCATTGCACACAAATTTTAGCACAATTCCTTTGTTTTAACATCTTACTTTGTATATACATATACCAAGAAAAGCATTTGCCATCACTCGGGTGTTACCAGCACAGCGGCATTACCCCGTACGACACGTACATAGATTATACTTTCTGCGCTACTATTTCTGCATTTTGGTGACACATCGTACTTTCTTGTTTTGGCATTCTACTTTCTATCCTAGCTATGTGTATAATTTCAATATTGGTATATCAGGAAAAGACATTATTATAGTTTTATCGCTTAAATCGAGGCTTCCATTATCTCTGTATATCAAAAAATAACCATACATACATATCGTCGTTTAAAGTGCAAAACCGCGTATCAACAAAATGCAAAACCGCGTATCAGCAAAATGCAAAACCGCGTATGTGAAGTTGTAGAAATTATTTTCTAGAGCGTAGAAACACTCATATTTCGAAATGGTTCTCTTTTTTATAAAGCAATCGCATTTCTGGCTAGTATAATTCAGGACGAAGGGATAAGGATCGAGCCAAGAGCTTGTGTGAGCAAATCCAATTTTTGGCAGCCAATGTCAGTTACGCGGTTTTGCAGAATGACGATACGCGGTTTTGTACTTTAAACGAAGATATGTAGATATGGTCATCAACATATTATAGTAATGCACGACTTCTCCAACATCGTTGCTTGTCTATTTTTCAAAGTTTTGTTTTAACATCTAATAAATACGTTCGTAGAACAACAAATAAGCTTGAGCCCTTAGCACTGCCTCCTCGTTTACCTCTTGTACTCGAGAGTCAGACACGTAATACCACTTGCCCATGGGCACTTGAACATCGCGTGCCTCGTCTTCCCCGCCGTATGCTCCGCTTGCTGCAGTCGCATCGCCACCATCAGCCTCATCTGGATCGGAGGAACTTGTAGACGAACAGTCACTATTGGAGAAGTCATCACTGTCGTTAGCCGCCTTCATACGCAATTCGCGTGCTTTCTCCTTCGCTAAAAGCTCTTCTAGCTTTTTGCGCTGCTCATCGTCTTGATCAAGCTCAGCTTTGCTGCCTTGCGGCAAAAAATTCCAGCGTTTGTCTCCACACGGTAGTTTCGGGCGCACTTTTACATAAGCTGTGTAATGACCGCCATACATTCCGCCAGAGTGCTCCACAATGCCATAAAGTGCATATAAAAGTTTTTTTTTGCTTGCGATCTATATTTGGCAAATTTTTTACTTTGGACCCGCAGAATGGAGCGATATCGAGCACCATTGGGAAGCTTACGGCACGTGTTAGCTTGCGGAATATGCATCGTGGGCCAAGTTGGAACCGCTTCAAATGAAGGATTAATACCGCTGGAGGACTAGATATGAGAAACTGTTTTGTAGCGTTTGTGTTAACGGTCTTCGCTTTTGGATCGGTGCTGTTAATTCGCTTCGTGCAGTTTTCACATCCTACTTTGTTGTTGCCCGTCATTAATTCAACGCCGGTAAAGTTATTAAGGCAGGATTGCACTGAGCATTCTCCATCATCGCACTGATAGCGCGGAGCTATTGTCGTACTCCAATCGGAATGGCTTTGGGTCCGTACGCGCTTCGCCTTCATGCGCGAAGCCTTTTGTTCGTGGAGTTGGAGTTGTTCTATTTGGGCAGCAAGCGCGACTTCGTCTTTCAATTCGCCATTAACCAGTCCGCCATTGGTGCTCATAGCTGCTCCTGCTTCTGTTATTGTTAGCTGGCGCATCATCGTAGCACCCTTTTCGCTTAGCCCAACTGTCATTAGACTATTGTTGGCGGTCGCAGAGTTGGCGTCACTAACACCGCCACCATTCGCCTCAGATGAGGGTAGAAAGTTTCTGCCAGCATTCGCTGGACTATTGGCAATACCTGAATCTAAAATAAATATATACATATTTGGTTTAAAAAAATTCGTCTACTGTTTTCAGATATTTTTGTACCATTTTCGTCTTCGTCGAGAGAATCTTTGTCCATATTCTCTGGTGAATCGTCTCGTTTCTCCGGTTTGCCAGAGTTGGTCAATTGATGGTTTCCATTTGTATCATAAGCAGCTGCGACTAAAGTCCGCGAAGTTTTAGTGGCCGCGTTGTCATCTAAGAGATTATCTTCCACATCAGCGTCGGATTGCTCAGAAGAAGACGATGACGACGAATTTCCAACGGCATCTTCACGCTTTACGCATCCTATCTCTGAAGTCGTTGTAGCCGCATTAATTCCAGAGGTGCCAGTCGTATTCTCTAACAAAGCCTTTTGTCTAAGCTTGTTTTCATGATGCTTTGCTGCTCGCTTCGCTTTGCGCTCCTTTTCCTTATCTTTTTTCAATTGCGACTTTGAAGGTCCTGCAGGTGGAGCATTTAGGTAAAAGGAGCATGCATTGGGTGAGTTATCTGGGCTGGTTTTGCGTCTAATCGGTGGCTGTGGCTTCTCTACGCTTACAGGTAGTGACATGTCTAAGAAGTATTCATGCCGTGAAGACACATTAAAGCACTCTTGGCAAGTAAGAGTCGATACAAGAAAACCACGGAATACTTGCTCCGGGCGAAGTATGCGATCTGCGGCCTGATTTCCATATATTTTGCATTTTTGGCGCATCTCTTCCGAAACACTGTTTATGTCTTGATCCCTATAACCAAGGTTGGTCAAAATCACTCGTTGGTAGCGTTTTAAGTCTTCAGATCTGAAAAAAATAAACAATTAAGTCATTTTATAAACAGATTGCGCTTAACTTACCTAACACTCTCAAGCAAATGCCGTAATAGTTCATGGGAGTCGTGCTGATCACCACCACGAAATTGAGGACATTTTGTGCACAGCTTATCGAACAATTTGCTGGGTGTAAAAACCCCGCCTAAAGGAAAATACAAATGGACTCTGTGTAAAAATTATTTATCGCTGAATCTATGTGCATATCAACCTATAACTATCCTGCCAATTAAATTAGAGGTAATTGCATTTCGCCATAATCATTGCAAAAAAAATCTTTTTGAAAATTTCAAAACTATATAGGCAGACTAAAAAACATTTCCGAAGAGCACTTTTATTCCATTTTTTTTTTTTGGTAAATTATAAAATTAACATCGCCATTGGCGATTCTTTCCCTTCAAATAAATTTTTCCCAATTATATTAATATACAAAACTTAGTTTTCCAAGATAATTTTACAGAAGAGGCTAATGAACTGCGTGATAAACTTGACTCAAGAATAGCGCTGCCAGACGTCCCGGTTTTCCCGGACATGTCCCGGTTTTAGACTATTTGTCCCGGTGTCCCGGTCCAACCTTAAAATGTCCCGGGTTTCGTTTAAGTGTCCCGGTTTACGATTTGATTGCACAAATTTTGCATAAAAATGACTACACTGAGAGAAAAAACGCGTTGTAATATTAAGAAAAATTTTATGAATTTACTGGGGGAAATAACGCATAGTAAACATGAATATTTTTTATTTGATTATCGTTTTGAAATGTTCGTACTTAAAAACATTACTTTCATACCACGCACACGTGGTGTTGAATCAAACTGAACATTTGAATGCACATTTACATGTCTGGCTATAGCTGAGTGCACGAAGATGCTTGCCACAATTTGCTAATTTCCAGAGCGTCAGGGTTCAAATCGAATTACAGACTGCATGGAATTTAAATATATTTTTTTTTAACTTAATTATGAAAATGCATCCGTTAAGTGCAAAGCGCTTCATTTTAATATTAGCGTATTTCAATTGAATATTTCTATACTAAATACTATATTTGTATACTTAAATTTATTACGAGTTGGGTTGGTGCTCTTTCATATACGAATTTTTTTTTAATTTAGCACGTTTTGCACAAGCAATAGTTGATGATTAATATAAGTATGTACCTAAATACGTTAAAATGACATGCACAGAGTTTTACAATTATATTAAGCAAAAGCCAGAAGTTTTGAAACAAGCTCACAACAACGAAACAAATGACTGATATTTTAATGTTACCTTGTATTTAATTTTTTTTCTTTCGTGAAACCTAGATTACTTATAAGTACCGTGCCGTTCAAAATTATTGGCTCGGAGACTCTTTCATCTGATCAGAATTTCTAATCAGATCTTTTAGAAAAATTTTGAAAATGTAGCTTTTGAGCCAATTAGTAAAGTGCAAGGCTGAAGTTACCAGAAAGTTTCGTTGATTTTTTGCAATTATTTATTTTTTGCTGACAGTGTCTTCCACATACAAAAAAATGTCGAATATAGTTTGTATAGAAGAAACTCTCAGTAAAAACAATACCAAAAATCAACTAAATTTTTATGGGCTGCAAAACTTCCTGATGTATTTAGTATAAACTGTATTTTTATAAGGAACAAAAAAGGTACATGCATTGTGGAAACTTCTCTGTACTTTAGTTATGATAAATTGTTTTGTTTTGCTGGTGTACGTTGTAATGATCTCATGATCTCATGTTTTTATGTTTTTTTTTGTCAAAATAAAATTTTACTACATCCTTTCGTACGTAATTTTTTTCGAAACGAAATGGAAGGGAGCGGGAGGCCTCTCCCCCCTTAAGTGTCCCGGTTTGGCAACCGAGATATCTGGCAGCCCTACTCAAGAAGCATATTAAAAGACTGTCAAAAATGTTTAATCACCCTAATCGAAGAACTTTTGAAACGATTACGAAAAGAGAGACGAAAGAGATTTAAGAAGATTTTAGTTTGAAAATATGCACTTTTGAAAAGGATTTCTAGCTGTGTGCATAGTCGAATATAGTTAACTATGCGCAAGTTTTATAAAACACTAGCTGTATCCTGCCACTCTTTGCTGTGGCATATATGATAAATGATTAAGGAAACAAAGCATACGTTTCATATAAGTTTGATTTTGCAATACTTGTGTCTACACAATATTTTTCGTTTTTCCTTTCTCTACCTAGATATAAAGTCTATATAGTTTATCGACACGGGAACACGCACCATACATTTCTCCATATGATAAGCAATCGGCATATTAACCTATAGAAATACTATTTCTATATGTCTTTATTAACTTAGAAATTAAACAAATACAAGTTGCTTGTACACACGGAAAATTCTAGACTTTGTTAGCGTCGCTAGAAAATACGTTCAATGAATGACGTTGGTTTCAGTTAGTACAAACGAATGTCAAACAGCTCTGTTCGTTTACTGCGGCTTTTGATGTTGCCACTTAACCACTGCGACAAGTGTTAAGGTTGGCCCCTACAAATCTAAACCACACTTTTCCAAAGATTTACCTTGAGCTTTATTGATTGTGAATAGAAATCTTTTAGATTGAAATGGAGTATCGGTCGAAATCATGAGATGAGGACATCTTCACCTTTAAAAAGCCACGTTAAAATCTTTGCTTCCACTACGTTCTTCGTCAATTTCTAAACTGCGAGTCGCGTGCAACATGATAATTGGCAGACCTATTTTCAATTTCAGTATGTGGGGTCATTCCTGGAAGATCAGTCGCGTTCAAAGATTCCGTTGGATAATTAACTGCTTCATCTGTTTCCACAACGGTGTTTATCAACGTATATGTTATTTCCTCACTTTGAATGCTTGATTGAATAGCATTATTGAGTTGGTAAACATCCTTATTCTTCGCGGTACGAATAACTCGACCACTAATTTGAATATTAAGAAGCGTTCGATCAGCCCTCCTTTCGATGTTTCTATGTTACAAAAGTTATGAGGCAACGAAATTCGTCCTGATCTCTCATCGACCCCCAATAGCCAGTAATTGTCGCGATAATACCTCGGCTGACAGATCGTTCTGTAGCTGGACACACATATTCGTAGTCAACCCCAATCTATACTCGTGTTGCCACAATGGTGAATATTTCAGGCAAGCATTTATCTCGCCTGCTGGTGGCGATCGATAAAGCACAGGCAATGTTTGAGTGAAATCTCCTACGAGCAATGCATTTCCGGAATGGTTGAACGGTTCCACGCAAACCTCGCACCGATCGATCAAGGACTTCAAGCGATTTTCTATGTGCCATCGTGCACTCGTACCAAACAATGAGTTAACATTTTTGTAATACTTTTCCAATACCGGATGTTCTGGAAATATTGCACGTGGGAGTTTCGATGATTTGTATGTTCAATGGCAGCTTAAGAGCTGAAGGAGCAGTAACAATGTCACAGCTATTGCGTACGAAGCGAGAGCTAAGGCTATGTCCTTTTTTGATCGAACCGATACCAGAATCAATCTCCTCTGGCGCATCCAAGAAGAAGATCCCCCACTCCGTCATTTATCATTTGCATCTTCTTATTTGGCGCTGTAACCGCATAAGCGATTTTGGCCGAGTTCGGCAAAGCACGCCAGTTGTTTTTCTCTGTGGCAACTGACGCCAATTGGAAATGCCACGTGAAGCCAAGTCCTTCTCCACTTGGTCTTTCCATTGCAGTGGGGTATCCGTAAGATCTTTCTGTCGAATACGCCAAGAGCCGTCTCAGCGAATGTTGTCATTGTCTAAGCTTCTGCGACACATATCAGCTCGGGCATGATGATTGACTTATAGAGTGTGGGTTTTGTACGTTGAGAGAGAACTTTACTCCCGAATTGCCTGTTCTGCGTTGGCCTTCGATTCCGACATTATCGGTGTTATCCTGGTCCCCAAGTAATTGAAATTCTTCACTTTCTCGAAATTACAACTGGCAACCGTGACGTGGGTGCCAAGGCGCGAATGCTCTGACTGTTTGTTTGATGACAGAAGATACTTCGTCTTCACCTCGTTGATCACCAAACCTAATAGCTTTGCTTCGTTATACAACTTGGAAAAGGCCGAACAAAGTTCAAGATTTTTGTTACCGATGATGATGATCGGCATACGCCAGAAATTACACGCCCTTGTAAAAAATTCTTCGTGAGTGGTTCAGTTCTGCAGCTCTTATTATCCTAACATTTGCATCATGCGATCATAAATGCCCTTCTGTTCACGCTTTAACTTGGGAATGTTTGATTGGGCAGATAATAGGAGAACCTGACGCAGCTGATCTAATTTAAAGTTTATGGAAAATGTGAGTATGTTAGGTAGATGTGTATTTCACTAAAGTAGAATCTTAAACATTTAAAGTCGAAAAACTCAACGCTCAAGCAGACACATTATCTTTACTCGCAATATACGTAATAGGCTACGGCGCCCCAAATTATATTGTCTATAATTAAGTTAACTTTTTTATAATGTTAGGGAATAGTGACAATTTAGGGAGCGTACCCATACTACGTAACCCGTTGAGGAGGGGAGGGGATCTTCAAAATACCACGCTTGGTCACAGTGAGGGGCGGGGGGCTTAGGTTTTTATCACGTAGTCAATATCCTCTAAGGAAATCTAGCGTTTTTTCAAGCTGCATTCAAATACGGCGCGCAGTGTTTGGCGCTTTCTAAACTCACAGGACTTTTCTTTCTATAAATTAAGTTCTGGTTACGATATATTTTGACATAAGATTTATCTTGATAATATTTTTTCCGCTTGTTAATATAGGTATGCATGCACTTTTGTCGTCACGCGGCAAGCGCCGTATTAATAAAGACAAGTACATATTTCATTTCATTTTATTTGCTAAAACATTAGTACAATAATATCTGAGATCTTTTATAGTTCAACCAGAAGGATATAACAAGGTAATAATGGTAAATAAATAAAATATTTTTTTTTTTACTTTTTGTTAGCAAGATATCATTCAAGGGTCGTGGAAGGGGAAGGGGGGTGGGGGGGCTAAAACTTACAAAAAGTGGGTCACGTAGTATGGGTACGTTCCCTTAAATTTTTATTAAGGATCTTTTAAACAGCTTTCATGGGACATTTTTACGCCACGCTTTTTATTGTTTTTTTCATTTGTATGACTCTTCGTTGATAATGTGATCGCTTTGTTTGATAAGGTGTTGTAAACTCTTTCTTCATTTAAACTGTTCGGCTTTTGGATAAGTGGAAACAGTTAAAAAAAATATCTAGTAAAGCTTTTCCAAACACTATTCGTTTGGAAGCAATTATGGAATTTTTCATTTAATTTAAATATTTTTAGTCTTTACTTTTAGATAGGTGAAAATCCCATTGAAAATATTTCTAAATCAGGATTTCTAAAATACCTGTCGTTTAGTACCCATATTGTAATATTTGATTTATTTTATCAATTTATTGAGTTAAACAGGTGGCAACCCTCCTCAAACATATTTCCGATTGTAAATATTTTTAAAGCTCTTTATTTTGATAAACACATTTCAATATTTCTTTTATTTAATCACTTTAACTAAATTAAAATTTTCAAATAGGTGGCAACCTTCTTCAAAAGTATTTCCAAAAGTCATCTTTCTTTCTATTGTAATATTTGATTTATTTTATCAGTTAAACCTAGTTAAATATTTAAACAGGTGGCAACCCTCCTCAAACATATTTTCCGCCTTCTTAAAAATATAAAATTGTATACCAAAATTCTAATACTTAATTTATTTTATCAATTTAACTGAGTTAAAATTTTCAAATAGGTGACAATTCTTAAAAATATTTCCACCAGTTATCTTTCTCAAACCTCTTTAATTTATTATCTTTGTTGCAATATATCATTTATTTTTATCAATTAAGTTGAGTTAAGTTTTCTAACAGGAGCAACCCTCCTTAAAAATATTTTCGACTGTAAGCCTTCTTTATACTATTTTCTTTGATACCCGCATTGCAATATTTTATTTATTTTATCAATTTAACTGAGTTCAAATTTTCCAATTGGCGCCAACATTTCCAAAAATATTTCCAACGGATATCTTTTTCAAACCTCTTAGTTTAATACCCATATTGTAATGCATAATTAATTTATTTTATCAATTTAATTGAGTAAAAATTTTGAAATAGGTGGCAACCCTCCTCAAAAATACTTTCCGACTATAATCTTTAGTTTGATACCCACATTGCAATATTTCATTGATTTCATTAATTTAACTGAGTTAAAATTTTCAAATAGGTAAGTTATCTTTCTTAAGCTTCTTCAATTTGATACCCACGTTGTCATATTTAATTTATTTTATCAATTTAACTGAGTTCAAATTTGTAAATAGGTAGCAACCCTCCCAAAAGTATTTCCAACAGTAATCTTTATTAAACCTAATTAATTTGATACCCATATTGTAATATTTCATTTATATTATCAATTTAATTGAATTAAAAATTTTCTAACAGGTAGCAAACCTCCAAAGTTTTGCCTTATAAATTACAACGAACAATCCCGAAAAAAATTAGTCAAAAATTTATTCAGCCGTTCTCCAGTTTTGAGGCCTGTTACAAACGAGCACAATATTTTTATATATATATAGATAGATGGGAGGTGACACGTCCCCTTTTAGAATATCGCCCATTTTTCTCCATGTGTATGGAATTATTTCATTTATCTATATCATTTTCCAGTACTCTACCACAAATATTTCAAGAGATATACAACATGATGGTTATTTTTAACCGACTTCCAAAAAAGGAGGAGGTTATCAGTTCGTCGGAATATCTTTTTTTTTTTTATTTTTTTTATGTATGCTACCGCATAACTGCATAGCTTTGGACCACGTCAACCGATTTCGATAATTCTTTATGCATCGGAAAAGTAGTGTCTCAGAGGTCCCATACTAATCTGGTTTAGATCCGATCATTGGATCATGAAATATATATATATATTTTTTTTTTTATATTAGAATTGAAGTCGGTTTTTTTTGCTAAAAATTACTGTTATATATAAGATAAAGGTGGCACGCCCGCCTTTCCGAATTCGAGCAAACTTCACATAAACCATCTGCATGAAGCCGTTCTTAAGTTATGAAGTGTGACCTCAAGTGCACTTATTTTTAACCGACTTCCAAAAAAAAGGGGAGGTTATCAGTTCGTCGGAATATAGTATATATTTTTTTTATGTACATATGTTACCTCAAATTTGGACCACGTCAACCGATTTCGATAATTCTTTTTGCATCGGAAAGGTAGTGTCTCAGAGGTGGTCCAAATGGTAATGGTAAATGGTAAATATTATTTCTGGATAGATATTCCATCGGAATCCGGAAAAATTTAAATATTTGCGAAAACCCGATTTTTAACACCTTGCTAAATATATCTCTATATAACTTTTGGAAAACCAATTACAAAAAATTGTTAATTCTCACGAAATAAACCATCTCGTCATAAAAAAAAAATATTTAAAAAATAGTTCTTGAAAAACGCCAATTTTTTGAAACATGTTTATTATAGAGAATTAAGCAAGGATTACGATGGTGTAATTTTAAATCGCTAATTTACTGGTCTTCACTATGGAAATCAGCTTCAAAAAGTACAGCTGTTAATAGCTAAGTTAGCTTTGCGACAATCATGACCATCTTATATATAGAAACTAGTGAACCCGAATGGCGTTAAAACGGCCAAAATTTTTATTCAAAAACTTAGAAAATATAACTTCTACAAATTACAAAAAATTGTTGACTCTCACAAAATAAACATCTCGTTATAAAAAAAAATATTTTAAAAATAGTTTTTGGAAAACGTTAATTTTTTTGAACCATGTTTTTTATAGAGTATTAAACAAGGATTACAATGGTGTAATTTTAAATCCCTAATTTACTGGTCTTCACTATGCAAATCAACTTAAAAAAGTTCAGCTGTTAATAGCTAAGTTAGATTTAGCACAAACATGCCCATCTTGAATACAGAAATGTTAAGCCCGTTTCTTTAGCTTTAAAACGACGTTAAGATGAAGTCTCTACGATGAGCAGAACGCCAGATACAACAACTTGAAGAAGTACATGATTAGTCAGAACCACGAAAAAATCCAAACTTGGACAGATCATATCTCCAAAGAAAAATTAATAAAATTATAGTTTGAAAAACTAAAACCTCGCTATTATAATTTCCATTCGTACTGTCATCAGGTATGTAACTTGATAATAGAAATCGTTGCATCTTTTAGGCGCATCAATATTACATAGTTACATCCCGAGCTAATAAAAGGGAGGTACAAAAAAAAAACTTCCTCGAATACGTGTTAGCTTATTTTATGTATAAATTCCAGAAAAAAAAATTTGAAGCGAACCGGAGACATGATATCAATTTTTTACGAAATCCGTCCGACTTAAAAAAGAATGGCTCATATGTACAAACCTCCTGACTGTAGTTCTTCCAAAGCTTGAGCCAGAGCCGCCGTTAAACCTCCCCAAGATGATAAAGTACCTTGTATCATCGGCAAGTGCACGTCTTCGTCATCTTTGAATTTAAAAGTACCTCCGGGTAAAATAAATCTAAAAAGTAGAATTTTTTGTTGTTGTTTTTTTTTTATATTATACTCATACTGTTCGCCAGGTTCCGATAGCTCCTTGAGCACCTCTAATAAATAAGGAGTTTGCGCCAGACACTGCATTACTGCATTGAAGAAGCATGTGTTGCCTAGATTGGTCAAGCCACGCACTCGCGGCAATGTTTCGATAAATTGCGGGTCTACCGTACTTGATTTCAGAGATGTAGCGGGCACCTGAGGCACTAAAGCTGCTGCGACTGTATAATCAGTCACACGTTTTGCCATGCCTGGTATAGGTGGTGGAGGTGGCGGAAGTGGTATTGGTTTGTTTGACACCTCTCCGGATTCAGTTTCAACAAGTGGACGCAAAGATTCCCAAGTAGCAATTATCTTTCCTTCTATGTTATTAAAGGGTGTATTCGGAGCAGGTGAAGCGACGAGAATGGGTTTTTGGGTAACCTTTTTTAATAGCTCAACACATTCCAACAATTTTTTTACGCGAGGTATATTTTACTTCGTTATCGCAAACATAACACCATATTTCAAACGAACGTGTATTCATTGTTAAAGCATGTGAGTCGGAGTGAGGTGTCTAAAAAAGATGAGGCAAATAGTTTATGAATTCGTAAGTACGGTGAGTATAATATATATACACATACTTTGTAATGTTGCAAAGCGTGCTCATTTTTGGACCGGCCACATAACTGAGATCCACATTTTAAACATAACCATAGTGTATTGTCATATTCGAAACCGGAAATTGATTCATCGAAGGAAGACTCCTTAACTTCTGCTGCAGGTGAAGTAGCGCCTTGCTTTGAGCATTGCATACAATCCGTGGCTAGGCCACTTGCTTTTAGCACTTTACGCAATTTAGTGGGATCAACAGACTTCTTCACATGCTGGCAATCTCCCGCAGGCGATGTAGGACTTTGCAATGCATCCTCAGACGAGTCTGTTGATGATCCGTCCTCATGAACATCTGACTGACGTTTCTTCTTCACCATAACTACGTAATCGAACTTTAGCGAGCGTCAAACCAACAATGAAATTGTATGTGCCCTAATCTAAACCGCAATTAGTGAACGTCTGCTGCAAAGATAGAGTAATTATAGAGTATTGTCCACATTTTGCCATTCCAACTTTTATTTGGAAAATAATTTAAATTTTTCTTTTTCAGCCACTTTTACTTGGAATTGAGGTTAAGATCACACGTTTGCAGAACAACAAAAACTACTGTATAGAAGAATGGAAAAAAAGTTTATTCAATATCCATGACTAATGAAAATGGCGACAAGTGGTTTAGAGGCACTGCTTGGTGTAGGAGCACTCCTTGTTTGAAGAAATCAAAGAAGTGCTACATATTTTTTAAGTTCTTTGTTTTGCGATGTACATTTTATACCAGGCCCGACTTACAACCAAACAATAACTGTTCTTTGTCCTAGTGTTTTTGTCTAAAACACGCTTGAAAAATTATTTTGCCCACCAATTATTTATTATTTTCAATTACCTACCACTAATTAATGTTACTTTGTATTTCACAGAAGCTTTACTAAAATCGTACGGATGATTAAAAACTCTTTTACCAATTAGAATAATTTTCTCCAACATGTATTTTTTAATTTTAAGCAAAATCTGACAGCCTGAAATAGACAAATGTCAAAAATAATTTGGCGTGTCAGCTTTTTCGCCTAGTTGCATGTCTTAGGTAGGAATGTGCGATATCGTAACGACTATTCTGAATATCGATATTTCAAGGCGGGGGAGGGGCTAAACGTGGAATTTCCAACATTTCCAAAAGCTTATATGTTGAAAACTATTGAACCTATTTTCAAAATAGACAGTTGGAAAGGTAATTGAAGGACCTTTCATTCAATATATATATCTATGCATATAATGCAAACATATTTTGAGAAAAATTAAAAAAACGAAATTATGGAATTTTTTTTATAAAAATGTATGTTTTTGTAAAAAAAATACGTAATTAACTATATTAACAAATATATTTATCGGAAAGACCATAAAAATACCTTTAATTTGGCGTATAATTTTATATAGTTAGGTTTAAGTACAACTGCCAGCAGTGCAATAAATCAACTGTATTAATTGGGGTGTTCACAGTTCGTTCCAAATAGTGTCTGAAAATGTAGACGTCTACATTTTAAGACGTTTTCTAACCGTAAAATCTGTGGTGTTGTTGTTTCCCATACAAAATTGGAAAACGACGCCGTCTACATTTTGTCACACTCAAAGGTATGTTTTTTACGCGTCTACATTTTGCAACCTCGCGGCAGGGTTGCATTATGGCAATACTAATCACTTTTTTTTTATTTATTGGGCACGTTTTTTGTATTTGCATTTAATTTGAGCGCGATTTCTGATGAAAAGAAACAAATCAAGGAAAAGAAATAACAAATATTAGGAATTGGTAATTAAGTTAAATAATTACAATTTTTCAGAAACAAAATCGAAAGGCGATATATAAAAAATGCACGCAAAGAGGAAATGTCTGGCAACACCAGCAAAGTTTTGAGACGATTTTGCGACGACTGCTAGAAAGGGGTGCTCACAGTTTGATGCTAAAGATGTCTCAAAATGTAGACGTCTACATTTTCAGACATAATTTGGAACGAACTGTGAACACCCCAAATGTTATATGCGGTTAATTTGGGTAGTAGTGCACTTTAGTGAAACCAGGTCAAAATGGACGGAAAAAGTTCGAGAGTGGTATCAATCGACGCGTCTTAACGCCAATAATAACAATCCGAGACCGAAAATTAACATTTTTTGCACTTCCCGAACTATTTTCTGATGAATTTCACGCAAATGAATTGAATAAATAAACTCAATATAACACGTATTTATTAGTTTTTATACATTTGTGATGTTTTAAGTATACACTTTCGCGAAATACTGTATTTAATAGCAATATTCCGATGGTGAGAATCCGCACAACAATCTTGTGTAGTTAATATAATAAGATGGAGGAAAACTGGTGCTGCCACTCTATTAATACAATTTGTATTTCAACTTTAAAAACACCCAAATAATGCACAAGAAATATACTTTTGTGAAAGGGGGATTTCTGTTCCTTTTCTTCGCACGCAGAAAGGAGAATTCTACGTGGTGAGGGTTATAATCTCTAAGCGCGGCCGAAGGCAGCCTACGCAGAAAGGTGTTCTCTGCAAAAAGTGTTCAGCCCAGTAATGAAATTGATGGTACAATTGTACTTTTTTGGTACATTTTGGAAGCCAAAAGTACATTGGTACTACATTGACATTTTTGATACATGTTTGTCAAGATACGGTACTGCAGCACAATTATGTCGAAATACCACACTCTATTTACTTGGAGTTTTGAATTTTTGTGCATAAAAATATAGTCATATTTTTCTACCATATTTAAGTAAATACGTGGTGTTTATTAAAAACGAAACTTACTTAAATCAAAAAAAAGTTGCTGTCATAATAGGTATATTCATAAAATTTTCCAGTACGTACTAGCAGCCAGAGAATAAAATAATCATAGCGAGTAAAATTGAGGGGAAGACTAAAATATGAGAAAAAGTTATTGAACGCAAAACCATTAAAAACGTGCAACTTACGCCATTCTGATTTTCTGATAGATAAATTTGGTAGGAGTATGTTTGTATTCCCCACACAAAATCATCCAGCAGCAAAAATTCTTAGCAGTTTGCAAAATTTGCAAAAACTTGCAATCTTCGAAACAGCTGATAACTTTCACAGTTGCAATAGGTGGTTCATTTGGTAATTTATTAATTTATTATCCGCTTGATGCATTGTCCTCAATTTGGATTTTTTTTACTATTGAATACTTTTGTATAGGAAAAATGTTTTTAACATATATGTAAATGAATTATCTCGGAATGAATAAGTTTTTTTCTAACAAATATTTTTGAAACCACATTATGACGCGTTCAAAAATAAAAGAATCTCCTCCAAGCACCCTTCCCTGTTTCACAAAAATTAAGTAGATTAAGCTACAAATGTGCCTTTAAAATTATCCCATTTTCGTTTTAACGATCAACTGACAAATTCGGCCAGAACCTTTCAGCATTATTATCTATTTTGGTACATTTCTGGGAAAAATATGGTAAGGTAATTAGAGATTAATAGTAAATTAACTAAACTGAACTTTTCTTCCTTTCTTTTGTTTATTCACGAACACATGTTTGTGGTCAACAGACTTTTTTACTTGTAAGTTTTCGCAGGTAAAATTTTTCCAGCAGAAAGTGGCAGATTTCAATGTCATTTTGCGCTCTCGATTTCCCCCACTTTGCAAGATTTTAGGTACGAGAGCACTGCTATTAACTTTTTTATTTCTATAAAAGGAAATATCTTTGTAAAACTTCCATTCCGTTAAATGCAACGATTTCTTTGATTGATTGATTTGAAAATTTTTGTATTACTAGCACTTAGATAATAATATAACTTTTATGCTTTTGTTGATTAGCTTGGCTTTTTGGTGGCCTTTTCAAACAATTGATTTGCACTTATGTTTTCCACCTTCGACACGCCCTGTTTTATATCATGATTTTTATACAGAAAATATAAAAATATATGTATATGTAACTATGTATGTATGGTCTTTTAAATGTTGGTACTTTCTCGGCTTATTTAGTAAACTTTTTGTGGCCATTTGGTACAAAATTAAAAAAATCATTTATCATCCCTGGTTCAGCCGCTTTTATTTGGCAACACAGAAAGAAGAATTCTACGTTGTGAGGGTTATAATGCCTAAGCGCGGCCGAAGGCCGCCTACGAAGAACGGACTTCTACTCAAAAATACTGTGGATAGCGTAGCTTGATTAATTATCCATTTAATTCTACAACTCAATCTTATAACAAATAAGGTGATTAAAAAAAATGGTTTGTACATATTTCTTTGGTATTTTTTAATTTTAATTAAATTTTTGTAAAAACTAAAGAGTAAGATTTCCTATCGCGCGATTTTTGATTCTAAATTTTCGCCTGCGGCGCTTTTCCTTTTTCATATAAAACTATATTTTTATATATATTTAGTCAAATATGATGTCCACAAGAATTTCTTGCTACGAGTCATATATCAAATTAACGGTATTTTTGTGCTTTTTCTGATAAACATATCTGTTAATATAGTTAAATACGTATTTTTTAAAGAAAAACATACATTTTTGTACAAAAAATTGCCATAATTTCGTTTTTTACCTTTTCTCGCAATGTGTATAAATTATATACACAGATATATATATCGAATGAAAGGCCCTTCAATCACCTTTCCAACTGTATCCATATTTAGAAAATCGGTTCAATAGTTTTAGAAATATAAGCTTTTGAAAATGTTGAAAATTCCACGTTTAGCCCCCGCTATCGCCGCAATTTGCACCAAAAAAAAAAAATTGCCGTTAAAATCCGGAAAAGGGGGCGGGCCGCGCTTACTTTTTTTTCTCTAGCTCAAAGGTCCATATTCTTTAGGTGTTCCTAATGCAAAATACTAAAGTAGGTTTAATCAGCAGCTTGTGTGATTTATTTAGCTTTTAAGTGTGGCACACCGCTTAAGTCGACCGGCATGCCGTTTTAATTCTCAGTAAATATACAAGATGGAAATAACACAATCAGGTGAGTTGATAGGCACTTCTAATATTCTATTCAATTGGGAGTAGGATTTTCAACATCGATTTTTCCGATATCGATATTGTTCAGCCCGATATATTGCCATATCGATTTGAGATGCAATGAATTAAATCGATTCATGCTATCGATACTTTCTTAAATATCGGGAATTCCTACCTAGTACTAGGTTTAGATATAAGAAGATTATCCTCATTATCGAGCTTAACTCCCTAATCTGTAATTTAAAAAAAGAGATTGGCCATACAAAATTCATCCTCTTTAAACTGTAATTATGAAATAATCTCAGATTAAACCGATAACTTTTCCGTGTGCAACCTAGTTTTATCGATTATTTTTGCGAAGAATAGGAGAAATGACAAATGAAAAAGTAAACAAAAATGGACGCTAGCTAGGAAGAGAGGTTTGTAAAGGTATTTTTAAACAAATATTAAGTTAAAATATCTTTCAATTGCTTAATATAGCAGAAAAAAGTGATTACGGTGGCACAGAGAAAGAACTTAACTTTTCCTTGAGATGTGAGAATAGCAAGCACAACAAATATGACTGCTAATAATCTGAGATTTGCCTGCGTAAACGGGGTGATTAAAAAACGAGCTTTGATTGAGGTAATATTTATATGTGAACATTACTTTAACACTAGTACTAGGTTCACATATAAGTAGATTATCCTCATTTTCGAGCTTAACACCCTAATCTGTAATTATAACAAGAGCTTAGCCATATAAAATTCGTCCCTTGTTAATCTGTAATTATAAAATAATCTCAGATTTAACCGATAACTTTTCGGTGTCCATTCTAGTTTTATCGATTGTTTTTGCGAAAAAGAGGAGAAATGCCAAATGTAAAAGTAAACAAAAATGTACGCTAGCAAGTAAAAGAGGTTTGTAAAGGTATTTTTAATAAAATGTTAAGTTAAAATATATTTATATTGCTTATTATAGCAGAAAAACGTGATCACGGTGCCACAGAGAAGAAACATAACTTTTCCTTGAGATGTGAGAATAACAAGCACAACAAACTTGACGGCTAATAATCTGAGATTTGCCTGTGTAAACGGG